AAATATCTTTGAGGATCTGGTCCTAAGGCATTTAAACTATGGAATCACAGAAATGAGGGGTAGAAAATATTTATTAGGTTAACTGATTTTTTCCTCCTTTCCTTTACCATGGCAGGACTCTTCTCTATGGTATGTTTTCTAGTGCTTGTTCTCCAATGCTTTGTCCAATAGTCACACTACTACTTTTATAGAATGCTTATGAAAACAAGAAAAACTAAAGTTCTGCTTTGGTTCAGTGTTTATCTGTGATGTATTTTCTGATGATTGAAAGTTTAATGATAAGCTATTGTTGTCCTGGAAAATGTGTGAAGCAGCTCAGATACAAGCTAGGCATAGTTTTGTATTTGATGTTGTCTGTCCCTTCACTCTGTGTGGTGAGCACTGTAAATTATGGATTTAGTTATGTACACAATGGCTGCAAAGATGAAAAGCTTACTGTAAATACTGTAAATCCAGTACAAGTTCCGGGCTAGGAAGAGAAAAATGGAATGCTTGTCTCCAGAATGTCAATCTATATCCCATCCAAGGTTTCTGTGGTCTCTTGCAAGGACATTGAATAATTATGTACATTGCTCAGATGAGCATGATTTGATGACCTCAATATCGATCTTTGACCCTAAATCTGTGAAATTGTGACAGCTAAATAGAAATGCTATCCACATTCAAAAAGTTAGGCTGTAAAATAAGCCTCCCCAGAAAAATATGAAAGAATCATAATCTTTCAATAGAAGAATGGCTATAGTGAGAATTTCCTGAAGTAGGAGTGTGGACCAAAGTGTACTCTAATGGCCAGGGAGTAGACATGATTGCTGGAGTGTTATCCAAAAGTCATCTATGTATGACTGCAAAACTGAGGGATGTGCATAGAGAGTAACACTTCCATCTGTGACTTGAGCTGGAGCACTACTGGCTAGTGTTTTTGTGATAAGGTATCAATGGGGTTAGAGGTAGAAGGATGAAAGAAAACATTAATATCTTAGAACTTAGAATTACAGACAAGCAGAACACCTTCTGGTTCTGCTGGATACTTCCTCATTTCCCCACCTCAAACATCTTTGATACTGAAAATAGTATCGAAGGTAAAACCCAACCTGAAAATAAGTGCTTACATTTGCAGACTCTGTTTGCATTTTCCCCAACTCCATACTGAACCATATCACCAAAATAGCTTCTTCAAAGAAGTACAAACTCCTTCTCACCTCTCCACTCTCAAACACACATGATAATATCCTTCCTTCCAATAGTTCACAAACAAAGGATAGAAGATCGGGAAAACCAGATCTACTGGGTCAAAATATGAGTTGGCGGAAAACCAGATCTTGGTCAAAATATGAGAGGGGGAGAAGAGTGTCTTCAGGCAATGTAGTGACCCATCCTGAAGGATTCGCTCTATGTGGTCTCTGTATGCTCAGGCTTCTATGTGATTTAGGTATGGGAATGCTGGTTGGCTAATGGGCAGAGGCAAAGGAGAATTGATTTCCACAGCATCATCCTCCTGGAAACCCACAGGTATTGTCCCAAGTACATTGATGTTGATGCTGTCATTGGAGCTTTTCACCAGTACAGCACTGAATTCACTTTAAAAAAAATAGTAGTAAGATCCCCCGAGGGCGGGTTGGGTGAGGCCTGAGAGTTGGTGTATTTACATGACAGATTTCTGATTGAACTCATTATTTGCTAAACTCATCCATCCATCCATCCATCCACCCATCATCATCATCACGGCAAATGCCTAAAGGTGCAGATTGAGCACCACCGGGATCAAACTCTGGCAAGGAGCTTAAGATGCTCTGGCAGCATATTCAGTTTATGTCCATCACTGGGAATCTTGTCACTCCTGTTAACAGTAATTAAAATCATTTAAAATTTGAAACCTGAACAATGTAATGTCATTACTATGATATAGTCAAAAGCCAAACTGAAGTTTCTCGAAGTACTAAAGATCTATTATGGAACATGTAATGATTTATTTAAAAAACAACTCAAAACATCCTTCTGCCACCACCTAATAGTATCTTCAGTATTTTCAATAATATATTGTGAGCTGAGTTGTGGCTGGGAAAGAGAAGGTGCGAAGAGACTGGTTGTGATTTTTCTCTTCAGTGTGATCCTTCTCTTTGACATCAGGGGACAGATCCCTGATCACTCTTGGTTCCCTTCTATTAGGGTGTGACAACACTGCATGCTTTTTTTTGGTGGTGAGTAGTGTACATACCAGTAAAGCCCAAGCACTAGGTATAAAGTATGTTATACTTAGGTTGCTGAGGAACCAAACAACATGTCTCTCTTAAAGTTATTAAAGTCCTCCAAGAGCCCCAAATGTTCCTTTTCTTAGAGAGTTCATATTTAATTTTGTCTCTGCTGTGCACTTGAGTGAAAGTTTCTTGAACCCAGGACAAAACACAGGACACTATTGCCATTTTTGAAGATTTATTATATCTGATGCCAGTCAGGGGAAAGACTAGAAATGGAACACTTATTCTAAGGATCTATATCCTCTTTACTTGAATATTCTATTCCAAAACTCACTCTTGCCTTTTTTTTTTGTATTTATTCCTTCTCTTTTGAGACACTTTTTTAAAGACAGTCTGGTTTCCCTGGCTGTTTTGAAAGGTTCTATTGGAGCAACTAGAAGGAGACAAAGAATGACCTGCTGAAAGGATTAGAGGTTTAAGTAGAGGAACTGCAAGGAGAAACTCTTGCTTGGGACTATAAAGGGAATGGACTAGGAGGAGCCTGTGAGTGCTGAGAAGCAGTAGTGTTAAAGACATACTGAAATGAGAAGGTGTCTTTTCCCTGTTAAGGAAGGTTATAGGGAAACTTTTTGTGATGAGGAACAGTTGAGAGAGAGAGAGAGAGAAGAAAATGCATGTAGAAAACAGTTATTTCCGTAGCAATGCTATGAACTAACTTCAGTTTTTGTAACTTACACAAGAATCCCCCCTTTTTTCTCTCCTGTGACTGTACTGAGCACAGCCAGCATGATAGCCTTTTACAGGCTGCAGTCTTTTGAAACAGCCAGCCTGGGGGCTAGGGGAATAAGAGGGAGTGAAAGATTATCAGTAAAGCAGCACGTAAACAATTTATTTATGACAAAAATAAATAGTGCAGGTGGCATTCTATGTGAAAACCTGCATTGTCTAGGTTTAATGCTGATGGGTGTGGACTACAACTTCTTCCTTCTTTACTTAAAGCCTAAAATAGTGGTGTTTGCTTTATGAGACCCTCCATAAACTTTTGGTGGACTTTGTAGCACTGCAGAGATGTTTTGTGGACCCTGTCTTTGGTATTGAGTACCTGAAGTTGCATGAGAGCACCCCCAGAGATTTTAAATACTTTTCAATACAATATACTTTATGGGCTAGATCTTCAGTAGGTGTATTTCAGTGATTTATACCATCTGAGGATCTAGCACTGTATGAGTCCCAGAACAGAAATCCCAAGAGTTAATGGCACTGTAATTTTGCAACAGATAACATATAATAATAACATTTAGCCCATAAGTAGGGCCCTACCAAATTCAAGGCCATGAAAAACACGTCATGGACTGTGAAATCTGGTCTCCCCTTGTCAGGGCCGGTTCCAGGCACCAGTGAAGGAAGCAGGTGCCTGGGGCGGCCAATAGAAAAGGGCGGCAATCCGTCTGTTGTTGGGGCGGCACGTCCGGGTCTTCGGCGGCAATTCAGCAGTGGGTCCCTCACTCCCTCTCTTCCTCTTCTGTGGCAATTCGGCGGCAGCTCAGTCGTTATTTTTTTCCCCTTCGCCGCTTGGGGTGGCAAAAAAGCTGGAGCCGGCCCTGCCCCCTGTGAAATCTGGTCTTTTGTGTGCTTTTACCCTATATTATACAGGTTTCAGGGGGGGAGACCAACATATCTCAAATTGGGGAGCAGACCAGAAAGGGAGCTGCAGGGGGCTTGGTATTGCCACCCTTACTTCTGTGCTGCCTTCAGAGCCGGGCGGCCAGAGAGCGGCGGCTGTTGGCCTGGCACCCAGCTCTGAAGGCAGCGCCCCACCAGCAGCAGTGCAGAAGTAAGGGTGGCAATACCACCATACCATGCCATCCTTACTTCTGTGCTGCTGCCTTCAGAGCTGGGCAGCCGGAGAGTGGCGGTTACTGACTGAGGACTGAGCTCTGCAGGCAGCAGCCCAGAAGTAAGGGTGACAATACCGTACCATTCCATGCCATCCTTCCTTCTGTGCTGCTGCTGATGGTGGCTCTGCCTTCAGAGCATGGCTCCCGGACAGCAGTCGCTGCTCTCCAGCTGCCCAGCTCTGAAGGCAGCGCCGCCACCAGTAGTAGTGCAGAAATAAGGGTAGCAGCAGTTCCACAACTCCTTGTATAATAACCTTGCAACTCCCCACAGAACTCCTTTTTGGGTCAGGACCTCTACAATTACAACACCGTACATTTCAGGTTTAAATAACTGGAATCATGAAATGTGCGATTTTTGAAATCCTATGAACGTAAAATTGACCAAAATGGACTGTGAATTTGGTGGGCCCTAACCACAAGTGCCAATATCATCTTCAAGGTGCTTTACAAACATTATTTAATCTGTACATAAATACCTCTGAGCAATAATGCAAAATTAAAAACTCTTGGTTTCAAAGCAGACACTTGAGGATATCCCAGGTTAAGCTTCATTTAAGGGATTCCCTTGTTGTTCGACTGCCCCCAAAATGTTTACTCTCCGTTGCCAAGGGTTATTGTGGGTTAAGCTTAGATGAGCTAAAAATATAAAAAGACAATAAAATTCCAATTGCATGATAACTGAATCAATATTGTACTGCATCCTGTATGCCGGATTCCTAATTTTGCTATGAAAAAAAACTATCTGTTTACTTTCTTATCTCAGTAAACATTGCACCCATTTTGTGTTCTTCCTACTCCTCCTCCTCACTTTACATGTCCTCCCCTGTGATGGCATTAATTGTACCAAAAGGCCTTATATAAAGAGAGGTGTTCGGAAGACGTTCTCAGTGCAGCCAGCTTAGCCACCATGGGGCTAAGAATTGCCAGCGTTTTTGCACTGTGGCTGGCTCTTTCCTGTGCGAACGAAATTAAGAAAGGTAAGAACTAGAAATGGGATGGTGAGGAATTTCCCCCTGGAAAGGGGTGGAAAGATTTAACTAGTGCAGTTAAGAAAAAGCTAAACACGCGATGAAATAATTAAAGGGAATATTATGATATCAAATATCCTCCCTTCATTTTTAACATTCAAATGCTGAGACCAAATGTATGAGCTGAAATAGATGCGGCTTCTTTTGGAGGAAGATTCTATAGTTTTCTTTCTGAGCTCTGTGGCTGGCTGAATCCATTATGTTGGTCTCTAGCTTGATGTATGTGATGAAGTAACAGTTGCCTAGCATGAAGGTTTGCAGGAGTTTGGCAGGTACCGAGCAATAGCAACAGGGAAAGGGGACGAGTGTCATAAGGAAAACTCTGCATTTGGCTATTCAGAAATAGCAGTATTCAGAAATAGCTTTCTTGTCCAAAAGATGTATATATTGTTAACACTTGGACTAGATCATTTTTTAACCTATTACTTCAGCAATCCTAGTCCATAATTTCTTACTCTACCTTTCTAAAAGAATGAGTCTCCAATTTAATTAGCTTGAGGTGTTAGGATGAATATGTATTATTGAAAAATAGCAAATATTTTGGTACAGCTGGGTGATGCATTCCTGTGCAGGTGATCAGGGGGTTGGATCCTGGGATTGGTCCCTTCTTGAATACACTATGGCTAGGAGAGCACCTGATGTTAGTAATTGGGAAGAAGGGAACACATCGGATCACTTTCCAATCTCACTCTCTAGTGGATGCAAGAATCAGCAGTGATGGGCTTTGGAAGGATGGATGTAAACCCTTCCTTAAATGAAGAGGGCGATGCTGCAACACAAGGATTTGTTTGGATGGAGTAGAAAGAGAAATTAGGAGATCTACATGATCCCTGAACTTCTCCCAAAGCAAACAATATCTATATGTAACCCACACACCTCCTGGGTGTGGTGTTGTGTCCCATCTAGTGGCACTGAGACCACTTAAAGAGAGAGAGATTGAGTCTGCTCCACAGCCTTAGCTAACAGGTAGTTGGCTTTTAGCTCATGTGGTAGAGGCTCATGCACTAAGCTCCAAAGGCCCTAGGTTCGATCCCGCCCGCTGTCAACCAGGGTCTGTCAGTGTTACATATAGATCTCTGGAGAAAATGAGCATCAAAGTAGACCCATGAGCTGTAAATATGATGCTCTGTTGTGTGTATTACATACAGTGTGTCTTGATGCCTTTAAATATGAATTGTTCAAGGGGACCTATGGTTTTGTTCACTCAATTTAAAAATTGAGAGTTAATTTAGTGTTTATGAGTGTGAGGGGTGCTGATACTTGCTTGGCTGCTTCCCTTACCACACATAGCTCTGACAATGAACCTCAGACCTAATCTACAACAATCCCTGCAATTCCAGTTTTGAGAATGTAAGTTGTGCTAATTTTGTGTCAGTTACTGTTGTGGACAAATGGTGGTGGAATGAGTTTGAGACCTCCAAACATTTGGTTGCTACTGCTTTCTTCTTACCTTCCTGACATAGTTTAGTTGTTGTCTTATCTTGAGTTGTTGTGAATATTGATGGTACTCCAAGTCACTATTTCTAATGGAAATAATGAATTCACACTTGGAATTTGGATTACATAAGGGATTAATTCATATAAAGAAAGTATCTTGCAAAAAAAATTGGAAAAGTGACAAAATTATTTAGAATACATTAATACACTTGCCATCCTGGCCTGAGCCTACATTAATGGTATGGGAGTGTCATATGACAGGAGTGTTAAAGCTCCTTAGTAGAGCTGGGAAAATAACTGATTAATTTTGTTCACTCGCGGTTCTGAAAAATAAATAAATAACAAAATTGCTTTGGGTCAAATAAAATGTCAAATTCTGAAAAAATTCAGTGAATCAAAAAAGTCAACCAAAATTTCTTTTAAGTTGAACAGAGCATTCGTTTTCATTTTTGGACATTTTAACAATAACAAGCAAGGGAAATTAAGGGGTTAGGTTCATAAAAAGGCCAAAGAGGAGCCTCCTTTAGCCCAGTGGTTAGGGCACTTGCCTGGCCTGTGCCCTAACCGCTAGGCCATCAGCTACTCTGGGAGGGGTGTCTCTCAGTTTCTCCTTTTAAAGCTATTCCATTTTGTATAAAATACTTGACTAGTCATTGGGCCAGAGAGAGAGTGTATGACAATGACTCTATAGTCTGGTTATGGCAGACTCTGGCAATGTGGGATACCCAAGTTCAAGTCCCTGCACTACATTAGGCAGAGGGGGGAGATTGAACCCAGGTTTCCTACATCTCAGGGGAGTGCCCTAACCACTAAGGGTTCTAAGGTATAAAGGAGCGGCCACCATTTCTTCGTCTGTGAATGGAGCCTGAGTCCCTTTGTGAATAGAACCCCCCTAAATTATTTGAGACAAACCTACTTGGCAATTTTATTCAAATTCAGAAATAGTTTTGGGCTTACTGCAACTGCTTTTTTTCAGTGAATAAACTATGTGCAACCAATTGTGCCCATTTCTACTTCTCAGTTTCAACAGGCAAGTGCTCTCATCCATCACACATGCAGTCAAAACTCCAAGAGGTATCCAGGCCCCAGCTGCATGTAAAAATGCATGACTCTCAGCCAGAGAGATGCACATATCGTCTGTTTATTATGCAGACACTGGGGATTTGGTGTTTTGGCAAATTGTTGAGTATATATTTATAAATGGCTTGTTCTGTATACATAGCAGATTATCTTCTTGTGTAAACCTAGTAGTATGCCATAGCTGAATCATTTAAGTACCATTGCTTAGCTGCCTTGCTGTGTAATGTTGCTTATTATGATTGGGTGCTAGCTACTTTATTTCACTTTCTTCATCCCTTCTCCATAACTTAACAGGCAGAAGCCAAAACCATGGCCACTACGTCTGCAGTACCTGGGGGAACAATCATTTCAAAACTTTTGATGGCGACTTCTACCAGTTCCCTGGACTCTGTGATTACAACTTTGCTTCTGACTGCCGAGAGTCTTACCAGGAGTTCTCAGTCCACGTCCAGCGTGCTGTGAATGAAAATCGACACCCTGACATCCAATATGTCCTGATAACCATAAAGGATGTTGTAATCTACCTCACCCAAAATGCAATTGTCGTGAATGAGCAAATGTGAGTTCTTCGAGTATTATAATTCTTCAAAGAAATGTCCAGTAAGATGCTTCCATAGACAAACAGAACTGTACAATATGTAGCATTAAGATATCTATTGTGAGCCTTTCACCAGGCAAAAAAAATTCTGGGGAAGGAACACAATATTCCAAATAGACCCACTGAAGCAAATGAGACACTTGCTAGGTAAGGTACTGGAGTAAGGGTGCCAGAACCTGGATCAGGTTTAACAGATTTTAACATGATCAAACAAATATATACTCTTCTGTTGTCATTGCTGTCTCTAACTAGAGCCCAGGTTTTATTAAAAGCAGCAAAGAGTCCTGTGGCACTTTATAGACTAACAGACGTACTAGAGCATGAGCTTTCGTGGGTGAATACTCACTTCGTTGGATGCATGGTGGGTATTCACCCACGAAAGCTCATGCTCCAGTATGTCTGTTAGTCTATAAGGTGCCACAGGACTCTTTGCTGCTTTTACAGATCCAGACTAACACGGCTACCCCTCTGATACTTGACAGGTTTTATTAAAAACTGTCAAACCCAGTCCAGTGAATGCCTACTAAGGAATAGAAAATAACGTTCTATTTTCCAGGCACCAAGCCAGACGATATCCAGAAATATCATGAAGTCTTTTGACATATATTACTGCCAAAAAAGAGAGATTGCCTAGTTGTGCACCAAAGTGTTAAAAAGAAATTCACAAGCAGCTTTTTAGGGATCCTTTAAAGATTGCTTTCCCATGCACTGAACCTATTCTTCTCCTATGTATTGTTCATAAAACAATAAAATCCTAATAAAAGAAGACTCGTGGAACAGGTTTTCACTGTGTATAGGATTCAGTGTTCTATAGAATTTCATACTCTTTAAACCCATACCCTTGGCACATGTCCTAGTGGCATATAAAATATCACTACATGCCAATGCAATGAAAGCTATAGAATTTTAAAAAGTGGCTGGGGAGGACCCAATCCATTGACTACCAACACAAAATTAATACTGGATATTATGGTAATCAGATAGCTCTTCAGATGGTGATTTGGTGACATCTTTTCTTCAAGTTATATCATAATATTGAATGATTTGATGACCATGCTCTGCCTAGGGGAGACGGGCTGGGTCTGAGTTCAGCACTCGGACTTAGTCCTTCACTGCTGGTAGTACTTCTGCAGCTTGGAAGGGGTCCTGAGATATCAATCAGCAGAGTGCTGGAAAGAGTGAGTCTCTAAGGGCTCATCTACACCACAGTTAGGTCGACATAAGGCAGCTTATGTCAACCTAATTATGTCAGTGTCTGGACTACAGCGAGAAGCCCTGGTGGTTTCGGACCCTGCTGCTAGCTGGGAGCCACAGCAAGAAATCCTGGTGCCCTTTCAAATTTCAAATTGACAAGGCTGCCCGGCTTCCAGCGGGGAGTGAGGTGGGGATGCCAAAAAGCTGGGGCAACTGTTCCCCGCTCCCAGAGGGCAAGAAGCCCTAGGCAGCTTCCCCCAGCTCCCAGCGGGGAAGGGGGAGTGAAGAGGAGGCAGTTCACTGGGAACCTGGGAGCTTGTGGGGCAACCAGGGTCCCAGCAGGGTGCTCCCAGTGGAGCTGAGAGGACTCTCCTGGTAGAGCACTCCTGGTGAGGATGTGCACTACTGACCCAAGGAGGGTAGTGTGGACATGTACCACCGCAGTAATTACTAGTTTATATTACATTTCTAGTGTCGACATACCCTAAGACTTTCTAGTTCTTCTGTGGATTGCCACAGAATTTTGGGCTCCATAGAGCAGATAAAGATTTTTGAAATGCCACTTCTATTCATCTCAATGGCATAGCTGATACACACAGGCAAGCCAAACACCACCCCATAGCAGATACTCATAGCCATCCTAGTAAGTGTGGGTCCCCATTGCAAACTCCAGTATCGGCATATAGTTGCATGTTCCACACAGGCAATCTTCAGAATTGGATTTTTACTACTTTACAGGTACCCTGTATAAGATAAGAAAAGAAACAATTATAAAATCAAAGAATGAAAGAAATAAAATGTACAAAGGTGGAAATCAGAATAGAAGAAAGAACAGTTATTTATGTCAAGGCTTCGTGCTACAGTGTTGGTTCCATAAATGCTACAAAACTCCTCTGTTCTGATTCCCTAGCTTAGAGTCAGCATTAGAAAAGCTCCATCCCAGAAGACTCCATGCTCTCAAGTAGCTGCCTAGTGTTTTACAATTCTCTTTAAAAAATGTTCATGCTCCAATGTTCATGATGTGACCTGTAGCTTGTGGTAGGAATGTTAGTTTGTGAGTTTCTATTTGGTGTCTATACCCTAGCTAACGTGATTGCATGCATTAGAAATGTGCAAGATGAGTAGTTAGAAAAGCTCTGGCACCAAGAAGTTAAGACTTAAAATACCCTTGTGAAAGGCTAGGAAAGAAATTATGAGAGGGGATGTATGCCTGGGCACACACCATTAAACTAGCAATAGCATTTGCTCTGAGAACTGTGTAGAGAAGGAAATAGCTATTCATTGGTTTGGCTGGATTCCAATGTAACTAATTCTGTTTGGTCAAGTATTGAGCTATTTAGGTTTTATTGTAAGAAGCTGTTTGCGGGAATGCTTTTATCACCTAACCAAGTTCTGCATTGTGGCTTGTGTACACAGTGAACATAAGGGTGGATATTCAGTGGATCAGCTTCTTATCAGTCAACAGCATTTTTGTTCAATCCTGTTTGAGATACTTGGGTCAAATTAATGATCTCTGCTGATTCTATTAATGATTCGTCTCTTATAATTAGATTATTGAATGTTGATGTTTTTAACAAGCTCTTTTCTCCCCACATTTTTCTTCCACTTATGTTGACCATCAGGCTCCATGTCTACATTGTTCCCATCCCAAAGCATTAGGCCATTCTCTCAAAAAATAAAGGTTATTTAAAGGGGATATCCAGTCTCCTGAAATAGTATATGATTTTTGGAAAATGAAAGACACTATTCAGTTTCTTGTGCCCTCAATCATTTGCTATGTGAACCTCAATCATGGGTAAGCAGTGAATATTCGCTCTCCCAGGTTCAGGTCCTTTGTTTTTTGCTTTTACTGACTGAATCACACTTCTTCACTGGCATTTTGCCTTCTTTCCTAACCTGAGATAGAGAATCTATCCCTTTAAGGAGCCCATGGCTCTGAGATTGCCTTGCCTTGTCAAGGTAAATTCCAGATGACACCAAAATGTCAAGTCTGAAATTTTACATGTGATGGCCACAGGAGATAAGTGTTATCTAATAAAGTCTGTGTAAGCATCAGACAGAGAAATCTTCAAAACTTCCTTGAAATAGGAAGAATCTGAACTGGATTTCTGTGACCAACTGGAATGACTGCTGATTAGAGCAATTTAAACTAGGTCAAACAAAATATGACTTACCTCAGCAAGTATCTGAGAGGAAGGGGATTTAATTCCCTGCTAAACAGAGTCTGTCCTGTACAACAGAGGACAGCTGTGTGGGACTCAGAGATGGAGGCCAGAAAAGTGTAATCTGCAGAGCCTGGTTCTTCCATGCACTCTGATGTTCCTCTTGCAATGCCTAAGACATTCAGTTTACTCCTTTCTGTTTTCTACATTAGATCTAATACAAAATCTTTGACTGTCTTCTTCTCAGTGTAACAACACCATACTATAGTTCCGGTTTGCTGATTGAGAACAGTGAAATCTACACTAAAGTCTATGCAAGAGCGGGCCTGGTTCTAATGTGGAACCGTGAAGATTCACTGATGGTATGTATGACACTGAACTTTACTTTTGCTACTATTCGGTTTTAACAAATTAGCATAGGCTGAACAGAGTCATTGTGTTAAGCAGCCTCTTCCAACTGGGAATGGAGATAGTTTATTCTCAGATGAGAAGGTTCCTTTGTCCATTATGTGACTGGAGTTAGGCATAGAAATGAACTTTCCTTCACTCTCAAGAGAAGATGAGACGGGAATGAGAAACAGCTAATATTTTGGTTAAAAGAGGCACCGTCACAGTATAGTAACTTCTCACATTCTTCCATGATATGTTTTTATTTTCCCCTGGTAATTGTTTGCATTGAACTGTGTTACTATTATGTTAGATGTACTAAAACCTAATGTACAATGGAGAGGCATTCACGATCTCTCCTCTATTAACGTCCCCTGCTAATGAATTTATTCTTGTTGGGAATGTTTTGGTTTTTTTAGTGCTACAGCTGATTTTCTTTCTGGTTTTGTTTTCATTATTTAGTTGGAGCTGGATGCCAAGTTTAACAACCATACATGTGGTCTTTGTGGGGATTACAATGGACAGCAGCTCTACAATGAATTTATCTCTAACGGTAAGTGGTCTGACAGTATATATAGATACCATGTAAAGCAGGTGTATAGATATTGTATGTGGAAGCATCAAAGAGGGCAAAGGTAGGATTTACAGTACAGGAACTTAAATTCCATCAGAGATTTTCCAGCAATTGTTAAGAGATACGAGATAAATTATTAATGGTGTACTATATTTCAAGTGAATCAGCTGATTCTGTGGAGTCTCTGTTGGTATAGGCCAGTGGTTCTCAAACTTTTGTACAGGTGACCCCTTTCACATAGCAAGCCTCTGAGTGTGATCCCCCCTTATAAATTAAAAACACTTTTTAATATATTTAACACCATTATAAATGCTGGAGACAAAGCTGGGTGGAGGCTGACAGCTTGCGACCCCCCCATATAATAACCTTGCGACCCCCTGAGGGGTCCCGACGCCCATTTGAGAACTCTTGGTGTAGATATACTCACTTGTTGGAATACTAGTAAGCTTTTCATGTCCATCTGAAATGGATTTTCTTAATAGTATTAAAATAGTCAGTACAGTGCCTGATATATAATAAACAGTTTGCTTGATCACTAAAGTGCCAGGAATCAGATGTGTATTGTTAAGTTTGCTGTGTTTATCAAGACTTTTTTACGTCTTCCTCATAGACATGACCTTCAATCCGATCACATTTGGAAATATGCAAAAGATTAACAAACCCAACACAGTATGTGAGGACCCTGATGAAACACAGACTGTCACAACCTGTAATCAGCATGTGAGTAATCATAGTGGTCAACTTTACTTAGCTGGCAGGTGAAGACATTCCTGCAATATGGGGAGACCACTGAGCGTGGAGATGGGTCAGAGCCTGGAACTTTCCAAGGCACATACCATGTCCCTAACTAACTCAAAAGGCATTAACGTTGTTATGCCTTCTAAAAGGAGGAGCAGAACTGATGGAAGATCTTAGTTGCACATGTGCTATTTCTGACACAGAATTATCCAGAGATAACCTAAGACTTGGACTCATCCCTCAACCATTAGTGATGTCCAGAAGCCAAGCACCATTTTAGCACAAAGGAACCTCTCTAGAAACTCGGGTGCCAGGGATGCCTTTTAAACTTTTATTTTTTTCCCTCCACCTCCTTAGCGTGATGAGTGTCTGAGTCTGCTGACTTCTTCAGTATTCGCTGACTGTGAGTCCCGTCTGAACCTGGAGATGTATGTTCAAGCCTGTATGCAGGATAAGTGTGCCTGCCAGGGAGCTGAGGATTCCTTCTGCCTTTGCAGCACCATCTCTGAGTACTCTCGCCAATGCTCCCATGCTGGTGGCCGGCCTGGAAACTGGAGGACAGAAGAGTTTTGCCGTAAGTATCTTCCCAAACTTGGCAGAGCAATCAATTCATCCTGGGTGAAATATTTAAAACTGCTCAGCTTGTATATTTCCTGTTTTCCCCTCCCTTGTCTTTGTTATTAAGGACATTTATTGGAAGTAGAAATTATGTTCCAACTGAAAGCTGTATGGTTTGATCCTGCTCCCAGTGAAAGTAGTGGGATTTTTTGTCGTTAATTACAGTGGAAGCATGATTAGGATCACTGTCTTCTGTTCAAGAAGCAAGAAAAGAATGTAGAGAAGAAAAAAAGCGGTTCAGAAATTAAATACAATAAATACATTTGGCCAAATTGCAGCCAATTGAGTCAATTCCACTGATTTCATTGGAGCCGATATATGCTCTTTGGTTTCTGTGGAATGCAGAGTTTATATTCAAGTCACTGATCTTTTTCTTTCATTATTTTAGCTAAGATGTGCCCTGGAAACATGATCTACCAGGAAAGCAGCTCACCATGCATAAGCACTTGTTCCCATTTGGAGATCAGCAGCCTTTGTGAGGAACACTTCATGGATGGCTGCTTCTGCCCTGAAGGTAGGTGTCTCTCTCAGTCCTATCTGAGACAATAGGTTTGGATTCAAGTCTCTTCATATACTCCAGAATGTATCTGAAAAAGGCTGTATTATCTATACTTTACCTTCACTAAAAAAAAAAAAAAACTCTGCAAGGAGTTCAGGACTGAAATATTCAGTATAAAGCAAGTTACATTTTAGAAATGAATACATTTTACCAGTGGAGTAAATTTGTCCTTGTAAATTAATAAAATTCTAGCATGTTTACAAAAGTAATGCATTAGCTTGGCTTTATTTAACTCACACTAACCTAGTTAGGCTCTTTATTTCTGTTTGTGGCTAGGCACGTGGTTTATGAGACTGTTACCACCTCTGAACTGAGAGTTGGTCCTTTGGGTTAAGCAGTAGACATGCATGTTTTTAGATGTAGAGTTTCAGACCCCGTAGGTAACCCTGAGAAGGGGCATAATTACATATATATTATCTACATAATACAATAATATGTGACAATGAGCTCAAATTTAATATTCAAGACCTGTTGCCAACCTTGGAAAATACCTTCACAGTGATAGCACAACAACAATAGTTTAGGTGAATTTTAAATCCAACCATATAGAATGTGCAGATCTAAGTTGAGATTTTCAAAGTGACACAGGGGATTTAGCCACACAACTTCCATTAAAAATATTAACTTAAACATTAAAAACAATGAAAGCTCTGTGGCCGAATCCCCTTTTGATATCTTCAATTACCATTAATTTTGGGTCTGGTTGAGAGTGTGCCTGCTCCCAGAGTTTTTCCTAGGTTGGTTGGTGCTGGTATTTTGACATGAACTATGAGAGCCTACGTTTGTGTTTTGTAGGAACGGTGTATGATGACATCAATGGGAAAGGCTGTGTGTCTGTTAACCAATGTCACTGCAAACAGCATGGATCCCTGTATTCACCTGGGCAAACTATCACCAATGAATGTGAAGAATGGTAAGGATTACAATTCACTCTAAACCGCTCTCAGAATGACTGTGCATGGGTCTGTCAGCAGAGTTGTTACCAATTTGTATATGTCTTGCTGCAAAAGTCATGGTGCCTTTCCATGTGTTGCAATATCAAGATGCTACAATGAACCAATTTTATGGCATCTTGAGTCTGTAATATGTGGAAGAGGAGAGTTTTAAATAAGCAGCCAATGACAAATTTTCAAAGCACCTAGGGGTACTCTGTCCTGACCCAGTGGTGCTCTGTATACAGATGTTTTTCAGTGCTTTCAGTCCCTCTGACACCTAACCCCATTTTTTATTCCTTATTTATTTGTGTTTATAGCACCTGTGATTCAGGCAGGTGGGTGTGCAAGCACTTATCCTGTCCAGCCTCATGCTTAGTGGAAGGAGGTGCTCACATCACCACCTTTGATGGGAAGAAATACACCTTCCATGGAGACTGCTACTATGTGCTGTCCAAGGTATCATGTATTAAAGGTCTCTTCTCTCAGATAGCAAATATAGATGCATCTGCCTTCTGATTTAGTGGCTGTAGATCACTGTTTCATTATACTTTTTGAGGCACGGGTCGGAGGACACTGTAGAGTCTATACTAGAGAATTCAAAGTGAGTCATGATCCCCAGTGTCCATTGATCTGGTAGTGAGGGTTTGTGCTCACCTGCTACACTCTGACTGCCTTAGTCGTTTCCAATTTCATGATGATTATGGAACAGGTTTATGGTACGCAACCCATTCTCACTTATAAGAGTCCAGAGGAGCACACTGGTGCTAGTGAACAGATGACTGGACCTGCAACTTCAAGGACTCAGCTCTGCCAAATAGATCTGAAATGAGGGTTGGAAATGTCCTACCTAATCTGTAATACACCTATGCTTGTGTTCGGGTGATATTGAGTCAATTGGGGGGTGGAGGAGAGCACAGTGAGTTATGTCATCCCTTTGTCCCTGAAGTACCTGGTCCCCATTGCTCCAGAGAACAAGGATCTGACTTACCAACACTTGAATGCTTGCCACTGGAGCTTTGAAAGGAAGTCCTAGTTCCGGTGGTAGTGCTAGAAAGAAAGTTCTCAAACGTAAAGCTCTACAGTGTTTGTTAGTTTAACAGATGATTTCAGTCCTCTGTGATAGAAATCAGCTCAGGGTATGGAAGAGCTGCCTCTGTGTCATAGACTCACTGTCCCGGAATGCTCCTGTGTGGCATGAAACAACATTTCAGCAACTCCACCTAGCTCTCTTCCTTGGGACATTAGTGGTCTGGTCTGGTGGTGACTTGGCCTTCCAGACAGGTCACACTATAGTTCCATCCCTTCTGAAGTATGAATGTCCCAAAAAATGTCTGACAAAATAATGGTAGCAAATATAATGCCTTCCACCTCACCTGGGCTCTTCTTCAGTCTCAGTTTATTTCCAGAGCAGAAGGTCTCAGGGCTTCTCCCTAGAATCCTCCAGTAAAACAGACAAAACACAAAATAAGCACCTTCTGCCTCAGACTTTAGTCTATCTTAGGCTTCCCCAAGTTCTCCGCTCTCCTGCAGAACTGTTATGCACATGGCGGTCTCCTCGGAGTCCTGCTCCTTTTTCAAGACTCACCCTAAGAGTTAATTGTATGCTTATAGCCTTCGCCTGGATCCCATCTGGCCCTTCCCATAGAGATGGAAGTCCAGACCATCTCTCTCCTCCTTCCAGCTACACTGAACTCCTTCCTTTTACCCCTGGCCCTAGACCAAATGGCACCCCAGGCAAGGAGCGTCTTTGGCGCCCCCCCTCCATTTGTTAAACTTTTGAATACCTTATTTTTTATTGCATTTGTAGCCCATTTCATGACTTTGATGCACGATTTACATGCATGATTTATCCATGTCATATAAGACAATAAATTTGCATGCTAGGATCTGTACAACAAAAACAGCACCCCAAGCCTGGAACCCCAGGCGCTCACCCAGGTAGCCTGCCCCTAAATCCGGCCCTGTTCATCCCTGAGCCTGACACATACTCCAGGTGTAATAATGTGGGGGTAATAGAGTGCTCAGGCTCCAATTAACCCCTTCTCAGCCAGTGTGGGGTTTATACACACCATCAGACTGTACTAATTTATGTTTTTTTCCACTTTGATTGCAGGAAAGTATAAATGACACTCACGCCCTCCTGGCAGAGCTGTCTCCCTGTGGCTCCACGGACAAACAGACCTGTTTGAAGACTGTTGTGCTGTTAATAGACCACAAGAAAAATGTAAGTGATATGTGGGTGTCTGCTGGATGTGTAGATTCTCTCAATGTATTTCCTGATTTCTCTTTCCCTACTTACTTTTGATAATCTTTCTCTGAGGATTCTGAGTAAGGATGGTTGAATACAGAAAAAATAAAAAACAGCCAAATGTTTGTACAAATCCCAAAGCAGATTGGCACTGCACAGTCTGAACAAGTTCAGAGTTAAAAGTTTTTGCTTGACTGTTTCTTCTTTCTTTCTTTCTTTCTTTCTGGTTCTGCCCTGTGCTGGAAGCATTGTGAGTCTGCTCTCATGGGATTTCCAGTCTGACTGGAAATAAGAAGTCCTTGATATTTTATTTTATTGAGATTTAAGTCCAGTTTTGCAGACCTAAGATGTTCTGGTTAGGATTCAAACTCTTGAAAACTGATCAAGCCAAGCTTCTCAACTGTCTGAATTTCACTCAAGATTAATAGTGAGGGGGGGACATTAGAAATTCTCACTCTTACTCAATCTGCCCATTTGTCTAATCTATTTTTTTCTGTTCTGTCTTTCTAATTTATCTCTAATGCTCCCATCATTATAGTATCTAGACCTCTGTGAGTTTTTTCTCCTCCTTTCCTGCCATATAGTTCTGGTCTTCTTGGCTCTTGACAGTAACATTTGTGAAACTAGTTATGTTCCCAAAAGTACATACTAAAATTTGTATTAAGAATTTCCTGAAGCACTTCCTTATCATTCTATCAATGCTGTACAATTATGTAAGAAATAACACATGGCAAGGTGTATGCTTATAGCAAATCCCCACACATGACTGGTGTCAAGTGCCAAATGTTTTCAGCCACTTGGCAAAGTTGGTATCCAGAATAAGTGACTTTCTTGAAGCATTTTTTCTCTAGTAGAAACTGTTTTAGTATACATTAAAAATGTGTCTAACAAGCCCAAAGCTTTGTACATGTACTGGATGCTAGGGCAGACAGAATCTTTATTAGCTAATTAGATTGCTCCTTTTTTAAACTGTGACTAGAATATTGAGTTCGTCTGCACAAAGTAGCATGATCCCTTCTTGTCTCCCAAGTTTTAAGGTTAATGTTCATGGTGGGCTTCCCTCTGCGTACATGAAGTTGCAGTAATTTAAACATGTTCTCTTTGCTTGCACACAGATCTTGGTTTTCAGATCAGATGGCACTGTGCAGCTGAATGAACTGGAAGTGCACTTGCCTCATGTGACAGGTAAGGAATGTGACCACCTCTCCAATGCACATCTGATGTTATGGGAAAAACAAGCTCTTTATGTGTTAGAGCCTTTGATGAAATAAAGGCAGAGAGGCATTTCCTGAATGTTTGTGCTGGAATGAACTGGATTGCAATGTAAAGAGCTTGAGAGGAAGGGGACTTGAGAAAATACATGGAGGAATTTGTAACCTAACCACCAGAGGGTGGCTCTGTGTACAGAGGCTAATCAGGAAGGATGGCTTTGTGGTTAAGGCACTGGCCTGAGCCCCAGTGCTGCACAGGCTTCCCATATGATGTTGGGCAAATAGTTTAATCTGTGTGTGTCTCACATAAATAGATAGAAATGAACTTCACTGCCAGCATATATTCTGTGTGGGACCAGGAATGTCATATTTAACTCCAGGGTAATTTTTACCCATATACTCTGGTGAGGAGTGAGCAAAAGTTTTCTGATTTATATCTATCACTTAAATTCCAACAAGAGGATCTTTTTCTTCTTGTTTCCTTTTCCCCTTTAAGTACTCCTTTCAAGGTTGGTGGTCTTGGGGACTGACCTTAGGTCTCTCTGTGGCTGAACTGACAAGCGTAGAAAGCTCAATGGAGGCATCAGCTTACATTTGGGGTATGGAGCTTTGTGTCAAACAATGCCCTGCGGTGAAGCACAGAGCAGTGCTGATGGTGCCTAGAAAGAGTCACATTTAGCCTTCTTCTGCTAGAAAGAAGTTTGCAGTGAGGCAGAATCTGTGAGCGTTGTTGTGGGAGATCAGTAAACAGAGGATCCTGAAGTAACCTCCCCAAAAATGTGTAAATCCTTTTAGCGCTGCTTATTGTGAATGTTTACGCTGCAGAGTCACCAGCTCCATGATCAGCACCTCTTCTCAGTCACTGCCACCTCTACCAAAAACTATTCAGTTGCATAAATAGAGGGGTGGGAGGACAGACACACATGGAAGGAGAAGTTTGTAATTGCCTGGTAGAAAGGATCCAGATCAAAGTACTCTACAGAATGAGCAATATAATATACAGGCCACATATTAAATAGCCTCACCTTAGCATATGACTCCTTCTGGGCAACATCATAGAGGCACCAGTGGGCAGGGCTCTTCCACTTTATTTATTTTGTAGGGCTGTTCTGTTGATTTTTCCACTCAGGATTGATAATGCTGTATTGCCTATATATAATAGCTCCAAGCGTGTCAGAGCTCAGCTGTTTTTGAGTGTTTTATGAACAGCTGGCACATACAGTGAGCTGGTTTAACATTCACCCAGTTCAGTTCCTGGGAATAAATATCCACAGCCCCAATCAGTAACAGCTATGGTTCTCAGACCTTTCAATATTATGACACTCTTTTCCATAGAGGGACCCCTCTCCCATGTAGCAATATGGGAAGGGCAGGGTAGTTACGACCTTTGACACCTGTTTGTGACTCAGGTTGAGAATCCCAGTTCTGGGGAATACAGGTGACTGGAAAACCCTATGCTAAAAAATATATGGGTAGCTTCAAAAACACCTCTTCTTTTTGTTCTTTGGATGTGACTTCAACTCAAGCATCAATTAAGTTCAGCACTTGTAAATTAGAAGCAAGGAATGTTTAATAGGGAGTTCAATTTTGGGATGTTTCTTTTATTGAAGAGCTACTTCTTTTTAATATGTACAATTGAGTAGTGCTTCCATTTGATATAATATGACATACCATCCATTCTTACAATGATTTATGGATGTAGGATAAAAGGGGGAAAGCAATCTCAGTCTCCATACTTAAGGGCATACATTGATCACTAGGTGAGGTCCAGAAGAAATGTTCCCTGCAGTGTAGATTTAACATCTTCCCCATAGCTATCCAGCACTGGCCAATATCAAGAGAGGACACTGAACTAGATGGACCATTGGTCTATTCTGGAATGGCAAGTCCTCTCTCTATTTGGGGGTTGTCCAGGGTCTTACCATTAGTTGCTCCAGATATTTTGTGTTAGATTGAATTGGTTTTAAAACAGGAATCTGACTGGAATATGTTGTCATTACAGTGGCAGAAACTTATGAGTCACCATCATTCTCCTCTCAGAAAGATAGTGGGAATTGCCCCTTTGAGTCACTGTCACTGCTGTCCCTTTCATTGTACCCAGCATTCACTGTGACACCTGAGGTACCAAACCCTTAAGTAAATAAACCAGCCCATGGAGGAAGTGGGAAGAACAAGGAGATCTTCAAATAGAAACAGGAACAAATGGTAGTTAAGCAGGGGGCATAGGGAGGGAGACTCTTACTTATTGTTATAAGTTACTTATTGTGATTTTTCAAAAAAGCTTTTAATACAGTAGCATATAACTCAGCACTGTGAGCCATCATGCCACAGAGCGAAGATCTGTTTGATTCCTGATCCCACACAGTCATCATAAGTAGCTGGGTTATTAATATAGCAGGGGCTGGCATTATAGCTAAGTGGTCAGTGTTCTTCAAAGCAAAATAAGAGAGGTTTGTGTCACCGGTCCTGAGTTAACTATGCCTCTCATGCCCTCTCCCTCTCTGGGAGGGCACCCCACTTATGTCTGAGGCATCTAGCCATCACCTTTCCTGGGGCAGGATCCCCCACGACCCTCTCCCTTCAGATGGGGGCTTTGGCTGCAGACTCCTGCAATGCACTGTGATCACCTCAGCAGATCTGACTTCAGTCCAGCACTTGCTGTTGTCTCAGTGACAGTGAGGATAGGGTTAACAGTGACCAGCCAGCCCTCATAAAGCCAAGTACTAGTTATTCAGAACAAAAGCATTTCAGAAAAAAACGTATCTTTAAAACTCTGAACAATGTATATGCATGTCTGGCTCACCAGACAATCACCCGTCTTCCACATGGAATCTCGGGTATGTTTTAAAGTGCTTTGGGACCTCTCACAAAGCCTGTCTCTGGACACAGACTCATGTGAGAGAGAATATCTCCCAGGTCAGGGCTGTCATTTTGTACAGTTTCAAGTCCTCTGCCTGTTAAGACTTTTTGAACTAGGTCAAACCAGTAGATGTTATTGCCCAGAGGTTTCGGTATTGGGGATTTGCATTAATTATTATCCAGTGTCTTTAGTTCCTGTGGGAAGCATCCTTTAGCTCACCCATTGAGCCAGGAATACGATCACTAACTAGCGCATAATGATACGTGTAACATTTATAAAGTTGATACAATAGTCTTTGAATATTCCATGTTTTCATAGCATTGGATCTGTCAGAATCTGATCTTTGGTCCTCTGCCTGTTGCAGTTTTCAGGGCAGATGGTGACTCGGGCTGCTCATGTAAAGTGTTGCTTTCAGCAGGCTAGTGTTTTCCTGTCTGTGACATTTCTGGATGATAACAGAAAGAGGTGATAAAAACAAATAAAAAATCAGGGAAACATGACTTTTCTTTCCTTTTGTTTTCCAGCAAGCTTCTCAATTTTCCAGCCAACTTCATACCATCTCATTGTGCATACCTATTTTGGTCTCAAGCTACAAATCCAATTGGTTCCAATCATGCAGCTGTTTGTGATTGTGGATCAATCTGCCCAAGGAAAACTGCAAGGTAAGTGCCCACTTATGTCTACTTCTAAAGGAGAAATGATGCAGCAAAAATATTTGCAACTGAAGTGCTGTGTGTTCTTAACATTGATGGTGAGATGTGTCTGTGACTGGCATAGCAAGAAAATGCTAGCTATTGAATTATTCCATACTAATTAAGATACTAAGGAAACTGTGTGCCTGCAAGATTCTAATATAGACTTAATGAATGAACACTTTTTAATATTTAGTGATACATATTTTTTAAAAGGCACCAGCTCTAGAGACAGAAATGCTTAGCTGGTTGAATATAGGAAGAATGAGAGCAGAATCCAAAATTTCATGAGAGAATGGCCCCACAGCTCACACATTTTACAGATGAATTATTGATATTACAGATTAACTAAACCCGTCACCCCCATGTCAATGCAGGATTGATCGCTGGAATATATTCACCACTGCTTTGTTCAGTCTAGTTTTAAATTACTTAAATGGCCAGTCTTGGGAAACTATTCCATAAAAGGATGATAGGGAGAATCCTCCAAAACTCCGAACACCAGTTGAGGGCCACCTGCCCCAGAGCTTGGATTTTTAAAGTGAGACCCCGCAAATGTCTACTTTTGTGATTGCAATTTTAATACGGAGTTGGAGGAGCCCTCTGTTTGACAATCTGACTGCTAGTCATGTGGTAAATCATCCTTTTCCTCTTTTGTTGCTCTTTTAGAAGAAGAATGAATAATAATTATTTTTAAACACCACATTTTTTTCTCAACAGGTCTTTGTGGGAATTTCAATGGCATAGAATATGATGATTTTAAAACAGCTGGTGGGCTGGTAGAAGCTACAGGATCTGCCTTTGCTAACACTTGGAAAGCACAAGCCACCTGTAAAGACCAAGTGGATAATTTGGAAGACCCTTGTGCTCTCAGCTTTGAAAGCAGTAAGAATACTACATTTTCATAGAACCTCTTTCCTCCGAATTTTATATCTCATACACAGTCAGTCAAATAACAGTATCAAAATAATAATCTTTATTTAGAAGGCTGATAAGTTAATAATGTGTGTGCTTGTCTGATGTACTGTGGGCTTGCACACATCAGCTAACAGGTGCTTTCCCCTTGAGAGTAATTGATTGTCCTGTGGTTAAGGCATGCAACTGGGCTGTGGAAGACCCAAGTTCAAGTCCTTGATCTGCCTGGTTCAAATGGTAATAAATACACAATAAAGCTATTATTTCAAAATGCCATTAGTCATCTATGGGACCCTGGAGAATTTACTTGGTAATGTGTCAGAGTCTTAATCTGAGGGTCCACTGTTCAGCTTTGTGTTCAGGCAGTAGGTTTTGATCCAATGGCTGGAAGTTGAAGTTAGACAAATTCATACTGGAAATAAGAATATTTTTTTAACAGTGAGAGTAATTAACCATTGGAACAATTTACCAAGGCTCCTGGTAGATTCTCTATCACTGATGATTTTAAAAGGGATATTGGATGCTTTTCTAAAAGATCTGGTCTAGGAATTATTTTGGGGACGTTTTATGGTATGTGTTATACAGGAGGTCAGATTAGATGATCATAATGGCCCCTTCTGGCCTTTGAATCTGTGACTCTATAAAAGAGATGGAAAGTTCAGAGGGAAATTGCAAGGGCAACCCTGTGTTGAAAGACACAGAAGAAAAGTCATTAATATATTACAATATATGTCTGGAGTAGTGGTGCGCCTTCCTTAGCATTATTGCTTCTTTTTATGTTTAGCTTGGATTTGTGATCTTCTGATCATGAGTTCTCAAACAATTGAAAGCTAGAGGAAGACAATTCGGTGCAGGCAGACTGCATTAATAGGATATGATTTCCACTATGTATTTGCCAGTAGGTACTTGAATCAGAGACTGTGGGCCAAATTTATAGCGATTCTGTGCAATCTCTCCACTCCCAGAAAAATTTAGGGTTCTCATTTTAATCATTTTGTTGCTTGGGTCAGATTATTTTGCATACTGTAATGTGACAATATGGTGCAACAGGGTATGATGCAAGGAAAATAATTCATTCTCTCTCCTTTTGTTACAGAAAATTATGCTGAATATTGGTGTTCCTTACTGAAAAATTTAGAATCTCCTTTTGCCAGATGTCACTCAGTCATTGATCCTGTGGAATATTATAAGGTGTGGATTTTATACTATACTGACACCTTCTGGCACTGGTCTAATATGTGTTTTACCATATACATATTTTCAAGGGATTATTGTAACTTGGCCATAAAAAATGGTTCAGATTTTGTAATGTCCAATGGCATTGTGTGCATCCCTGATCTCCTACAACAGGCTTTCTCATAGAATGCTAATTTAGAAGATGGAAATCATTATGCTTTTTTCGGGGTGGGGCTTGTGTGTGGTGAAAGGGCACTATAGAGTCTCATTTTCATATGAGAATTCAAGAGAGGCAGGAATACTGAGCCATGACAGTCACATGTTAAGCCAGCCCTTAACCATTAATGTAATCTATGTTGTGGCTTAATAAACAATAAATTCAGTTTACTTGATCCAGAGATAAACAACAACCCATTTATGTGTCATTTTATTCCTGGTCTGTTTCCCTCTGCTTTCAGTTCTGTTTGAGGAGGGATAAACAAACCAATCTGGGGAGAACAGAAAGAACCCTCAACTTTTACTCATTTTCTATAATTCAGTCTGAGCTGAACCTTTGTGAAGATCTTAACCCATTCAGCTATTTTTTTTGCTTTTATTATGTTTAATTTCTGTGGGTTTGTACATTTCCGGGTTGTGGCTGATCAGGAATTAAAAGTATCAAAGTTCCCTTAAAAAAGGCTGCTGTTAGGAAGCTGGCTAAACTTTGGACTTTCAAAAGGTTTGGCTGTTGAGATAAGGTCTGGCGAACTATCCACATTTTTCATGCTTAATCAAACGCACCCTGAGCCTTTTTGGGTTTGTCCCTCACTAGTGGGTAGCTCTCTGCTCATCTACTGAGCTCTCTGATTATGGGAGTGAATGAAAGCCACATGGGAAAGAAGATACTGGGTGTTCTACAGTTACTGTACTGGAGCCCCGGTTTTCACAGTCTTCATTTTATAGTTCTAATCCTCCTCCTGCAGGTGTGTTAACAATTTGCTTCTTATTTGTCTCAGAGATGTAAATATGACACCTGCAACTGTAAGAACAGTGAAGAATGCTTGTGTGGGGCCCTCTCCTCTTACGCAAGAGCCTGTGCCGCAAAAGGAATCATGCTGGGGGGCTGGAGACAAACTGTCTGCAGTAAGTGATGACACTGTAATCCCCTTGAAATCCGTCATAGGAATGGATAGAGTGCACCTGACTACAGTTACATTAAACTCAGTGTTAAGAGTTTAAAAGTGCCTTGGAGATGCCCAATACAATTTAAGGGGACAGTGTCAAGAATTTTGAATAGTTAAAGCCGTATTCTTTAAATGTCCTTCATTTATAGGACAACTTCATAAACTGGGGAGTAATTATTTTCCCTTTCGTCATCTCCTCTACCACTTCACAAACACTGATCTAGTTCTCTTTGTCCGGTGGACTATAAGCCATCATAGCTCTTCCATTTTATTTATTTTATTGGTTCTGTTATCAATGGTATCATCAACACTGGGAACTGGGCTTTGTTAAATTGTGCTTCTATTGGAGGGTTATAGGGCTATGAAGCAACAGAGAAAAAGATATTATTATTACAAAGCAAATTCCAATAGCAAAAGATCAGTTAACTAAAGGGAAAAGAAAAAGAAACAATGCTACATAAATATATTTATTTATTTATTTATTTAATGGATCTTTTCATTGCTTCCTCTATATACTCAACTCCCATTTATAATAAAATAAATTATGCATGTTCATTAAAGGAAGACTATACCCTTTAGAATGGAATAGTATTACCTCCTAGATGGTAACTTAAAAGGTAGGACAAAGTTAAGGCAAAACTATTTATTAATTACGATAATTTATTCCATAATACAATGAGAGGAAGTCCCTTTATTTTTATTATTACATACTGCCTGGGCAGAGTGATCAGAAAGAAAGATTTAAATTCTATAATGCCTGGTCAGGGTTTTTTTATTTGCCAGTATAGCAACCATTGGTCTTTTCCCCCCCTCTCCAGACAAAGAAGTGTCCTCTTGCCCAGCATCCCAGGTCTTCCGTTACAATCTGACCACATGTCAACATACCTGTCGCTCCCTTGCTGATGGTGAAAAGCACTGCTTAGAGGGCTTTATTCCCGTTGATGGCTGTGGCTGCCCTGATAACACCTATATGAATGAGAAGGGTAACTGTGTGCCCATCTCCCATTGTACATGCTACCATAGAGGGTCATACCTGGAACCTGGGGATGTCATCGTGAAACAAGAAGAACGCTGGTAGGTTATTTTATGGCTCGTCACTTGTGGATTGTGGAGGTGAAAGCCCCCACTTCTTATCTTTGCTTATTAAATATACTATATATTGATATTGATGGGGATACCATGTAGATAAAAGGTATATATTACCTGCCACCACCCTAGCAGAACAAAACGTCATACTGCTGTAAGTTAACTTATTAATATGTATGGCATATCTCTTTATTTATGAGGTGTGTGGTGGCCTCTTGTGGTAACCATGGACCTGATCCTGCACCACTAGAGTCAATGGGAGTTTTGCTAGGCAATGGGGAAAAGAAGCTACATGAACAATTAGTGGGTTTCTCACTGAAAACAGATTATTCTAACAGTTAAAACAGTTACTAATTGATACCCATTTAATCAAGATTGTGGAGTTCCAAAACCAGCATGCAGGCTCCCAGAAGCAATAGTCTTTTGCATGAACTCCAGTGACTCATGCTGTGAATGGTAAAATATTTCCTTGCCTTTCAAGGAGGAGGAAACTAGAAGTTAAGAGTACAAACCAATGAGGTTATTGCATTTGACTGGAGTTGGCACTAAATGGTGATATGTATTTATATGTATTTATTGGAGGCTAAGGACATGCTCTGAAAGGGATGAGCATGTATTCCCTTGATTGCTAAAAAGTGCAATTTTGAGGATTTGCAGGATAATTTGTGGTCATTCTTTGAAAATCATTAATTTACCATCTGTTTATAATGTAACATTCAAAAGTTCTGCAGAACTTTCCCCCAAGCTCACTATGAAATCTCTGTTGAAATCATGTGGGACTTCCTCCCCAAGGTGCATATTTCACAAAGGCCACTACTAAACATTATTGCACTAATAGATCAGTTGGGTTCATTATTACTTTAACACCTAAGAACATACCACAGCAATAGGGAATTTTTGACAGTTCAAAAGAATAATTGTCTGGCAGAAATAATTATCTCATTTGTTCATTTATGCCTCTGCAATTTGTTCTCAGATGTTTATCAATTGAAAACATTAGTCTGACATCCTATGAATTTCTATCTTCTCATCCTTTTTAGTGTTTGCCGAAATGGAATTCTCCATTGCACTCAAGTGAAGATACCAACAGAAGTCAGTAAGTGAAATGCTTTACAGAGAAACATCTCAGTTTCTCATTGAATTCACCACTTGTTTCTTTTTCCCTTCTGTGAAACAGTCACCACCTTTCACTTTGCTTTTGGCTGAGGATTTTACCTTGTATTAGATGCATCCGAAGAAGTGGGCTGTAGTCCACGAAAGCTTATGCTCTAATAAATTTGTTAGTCTCTAAGGTGCCACAAGTACTCCTGTTCTTCTTTTTAAGGGGTACACGCTGCTGTTTCTGTCTCAGTATCTAATAACGCCCCATTTATTTTCTTTCCCTTGATCTTCAGTGTTCACCCATCTCACATGGTATCTTTTTTTACAGAGTGCCCGTCCCCCAAGGTTCACTTTGATTGCAGCAGTGTCAAGTCTTGGTCTTCACAAACCCCTCTGCAGCTAAGCTGCCATACACTGGGTACTGACTATGTAAGTTTTCATTTTACCTCTGACTATGGCATGGCTCCTTCTTTCCCTTAGTCCCTAAATGAAGCAGTGCAAATCTGACCAACATGATCTTTTAGTCTTTTTTCTCATTTCCTTTTATTTCCATCCTTTCTTTTCTTTCATCATTTTTGTTCTAGTTCTCCACTACTTTTTGCCATCCTTTCTCTTTTCACTGATTTGTCTTCTCTTTTCTCAGTAGGAAAACTATGGGTTAGTTGGATAGGCATTTTGTTTACAATACAGCACTGTAGTTTTCTGTGTAGAACAAAAGTAAGATAGTCTGAACTTAACATCTCTGTAAAATATGAAGGAAATTCTCAGGCACTCAGATACTAGAGAGATGAGACCGATGGAAATAAATAAATTAAAATGGCTGAGTTATAAACCAGGGAATGAAGCACATGGAATGAATGTTTGTAGAAGAAGTGGGATAACAGAGAAATCGTGTTTTCTTATAAAATAATATTTTTTGTCTTATTTTCTTTAGTTCCAGACAGAGTGTGTCTCAGGGTGCATGTGTCCTCATGGACTGATTGATGATGGCAAAGGGGGCTGTGTCAAGGAGGAGGACTGTCCATGTATTCATAACAAGCAGCTTTATTCTTCTGGAGAAGCCGTAAAAGTGGACTGCAACAAATGGTAAGATGCTGTAAAGTTCTCGACTTTTCTTTTGATGTATATTTCTTGTAGTAAATGAATAGTAATGAAATGGTTTAAATACCACTGTGATGAGCAGGATATAGGTATACAAGCCTTGATTCTCAGCCCCACTCTGGCTTCTTTGTGACCTCGGATGAGGCCTTTTTGTGTAAATTTAGGTAATACTACAAACATTAAGGTAATTACCTCTGTTTATCTCAGGCAAAATGGACCAGTTTTTAGGGTGATCACTGTAACTGAGCTCAGAATCCGTCTCTCTGCCAGGGGCATCTCTGATTGGGTGGTAGTGTAATTTTTGGGTAGTGTTGATGCGGGAACAAAAAAGGAAGCTGTGCAGCACTAACAACCATGCTATAAATTTGTCAGTGGGCCAATTCCATGTGGGGACTGTTAATGAGATGGTGATTTATAATACCCTGTGCCATAATATTATGCATGTGATGGATTCCATGTTGTGTCAGCCAGCTATGTGATTTATCCTGCAGCTTCCAAAGCAGCATACATCAGCATTAGGACTTGACTTTTCAGATTTTATCCAACTCTTTTATTCTTTCCTTAGTACCTGCCAAAAAGGAAAATGGACCTGCACCAATAATGTGTGCTTTGGGACTTGTACTATATATGGAAGTGGCCATTATATCAGCTTTGATGGAAAACACTATGACTTTGATGGACACTGTGAATATATGGCTGCCCAGGTAATGTCCAATGGGAGCCGTGAGCAGACAGATCTTCTAAAACGAATGAAAAGTTTTACAACAACATAGCTATCAGTTTGGTTCTTGGACCATCTGTCTTAGACCCTTTTTCTTTAAGATCACTGTTTCTGTGGTGACAGCCGCTTCTGCCAAGTTAAATTCCATATTTGCAACAAATCCTAGCTGTGCAAGGAAATTAATGGCACTTGAGTGAACATTTCTTCTGCTGATGTTGTTGCAGATTGTACACAACTGGGCTAGCTTGACAATGAAAGTTGTCAGCTCATTAATGCTACTCCAAAACAAGTGGCTGATTCTGAAATTGGAAAACAAATATCCATATCTTTTGGGACATAAACTATTCTTTAATTCAATTGTTCCACTTCTTTCCCAGTATTTGGTAAACATAGAGTTAAATGGCACGTGTGTGTGTGTGTGTGTGTGTGTGTGTGTGTGTGTGTGTGTAGTAGTAGTATAGAATAATTAAATTTAATTATTAGTATA